GTATACATCTGGAGGTCAAAGGACTATTTGGGAGAGTCACTTTGCTCTTTCTACCATGTTGGTTCCTGGAGGTGAACTCTGGTCATCAGGCTTGGCAGCAGATGTTCTTACCTCATTAGCCATTTCACTGGCCCATAGTCACCTACCGTTATCCTCACTTTACAGACAAAAAAATAAAGGCTCCTAAGTACCAACCCTAGACTCTTAACAGAGCTACCCTTCTGTACTTCCAGCACTAATGAGCCATTAAACATTCCACCACTGCCCACTCACATTCCAGTCTGAGACAAAACTAATGTCACTAGCACACAACATCCAAGATTGGTTTAATCCATCAATCCCAGGAACCTCAAACCTAGCTCAGCTGTGAAATCAATTAAACAGCTTTTAAAGAGACCTGCTTGACCTAGACCAGAGTTCCTGAATCAGAACCTATAATCAGAATCTGTGAGCAGGCACCCCACTTTTTTTTCATGTAGCCCTGGATGGCCTCAAACTTGCTATCTAAATAGAGTATGACCTGAACTCCTGATGGTTCTGCCCCCATCCAGGTACCACAATGCCTGTAGGACTCTTAATTTCTTACTCACCACTGTTACTGCTGAGACTCAACTCATTGGACCTCTTCATCATTTCAGCACAAAAAGCCTAAAATAAGCAAAGCACAACAGTCATAACAGGGAGGGCAAGCGTTGTAATCAAAATCTCTGCCTGCATACACCACACCACTCTCTCTTTAGGCTCCATTCCCAATACCAGTGGTTCTCAACCTGTGGGTGGAAACTCCTTTGGGATAAAATATCAGATATCCTGAATATCAGATATTTACATTATGAGTCATAACAGTAGTAAAACTACAGTTATGAAGTAACAAAGAAATAATTTAATTGTATGTATTAAAGGGTCATAGAATCACTGTATTAGAACATCTGAGAAATGAATACAGGTAAAAATTAAAAGAAAAACAAAACCTGGTAGAACTTAGGCAAAGTATAAGGATTCATTTATTCAATAGGTATTAATGTAGGCACTGCATTAAAGCTCAAATAAAAACATAGATTACTTCTAAATGTTATGAGCATATCAAACTGTTTTATATGGGTTAATTATTGTAAAAGTTTAAAATTGGATCTGATTCATAATGAATATTCAATATATGTTAGATAAGGTAATTATTGTTACATAATAGTCTAGAGAAAAGAAGTCACTATTTCCAGGCATATCCTTTAAGAGAGAGTCTACTTGAAATAAATGAAATGTGTTAGGTGTTGGACACACATTATCCAATACCTTTCTTATTCAAAGCTGATACAATGGGCAATAATTACTTTATTGAAAAAATGTTAATATTGATAAGATAAATACAAGACTAGATTTTTGCTTTATCTTTATCTGTACTTCAAAAATGAAGTGTGTGAGTGTGTGTGACAGTGGTGTGTGTGTGTGTGTGTGTGTGTGTGTGTATGTATGTATTTGGGCAGATTCTCATTGCCTCACTTTGTATCCCTGAATAGCCTATATCTCATTATGTAAACCACACAGGCCTCAAACTCAGAGATCCTGGTTCTTTGAGAGATTTTTTTGGGGAGGGGGTGGAGACAGGGTTTCTCTGTGTAGCCCTGGCTTTCCTGGATCAGCTCTTTGTGTAGACCAGTTTGGGTTCAAACTCATTCAGAGATCCACCTGCCTCTGCTTCCTAAGTGCTGGGATTACAGGCATATACCAAGAGACCCAACTCAGCAATGAATTTTCTTAGTCTACAAAACATTTCCTTTATAAACTGTATTTTCAGCTTCTAATTCCAGGGCAAAAAAAAATCCCTTTATCTAACCATATTTATTTCCTTGGAAATAAAGCAAATGACCTAACATTTTCCAGTGATAGACTGTAAGAGAGGCCATATATAACGGATAAAAGTCAGTTCTCTGGTAGGTCATTTTAGAAGTAGGAGATGTTGCAGGGTTAGGTAAAAATGTTAACTGAAATGTGATGAAAAACTGAGAGGTGGAACCAAAGGGCAAGTGTGGCAGTGTCCTTCCAGCTCCGTCCGATAGGGATGAACACTTGATCTGGGAGAGGCCAAAAGCATGCTTTGGAGAGCTGTTCCTTACTCTGAGACAAATGCCTGGCTTAGGATAATAATAAGTAAGAAATATTTGCTAATAACTATCTATTGCCTTCTATAGATACCCAGCTGTATACAGGGCAAAATCCATCACAAATACCCTGTAAGGGGCCATGGGCCCAAAACTATGAGGCTTAAAGCCCATCTTTGTAAGCCTTTTAATAACCTAAAGTTTGCGGCTTAAAGCCAGCTCTGTGAGCCTCCTGTAACCTGTAATTAGAAATAGACTGTAAGAGAGGCCATATATAATGAATAAAAGTCAGTTCTCTGGTAGGTCATTTTAGAAGTAGGAGATGTTGCAGGGTTAGGTAAAAATGTTAACTGAAATGTGATGAAAAACTGAGAGGTGGAACCAAAGGGCAAGTGTGGCAGTGTCCTTCCAGCTCCGTCCGATAGGGATGAACACTTGATCTGGGAGAGGCCAAAAGCATGCTTTGGAGAGCTGTTCCTTACTCTGAGACAAATGCCTGGCTTAGGATAATAATAAGTAAGAAATATTTGCTAATAACTATCTATTGCCTTCTATAGATACCCAGCTGTATACAGGGCAAAATCCATAGGTCAATACCCCAAAGGCAGGGGAGAAAGTATGACCCCACACCAAAAGTAGACTGCCGACCTTTAAGGAAAAGAGAGAATAAATGCAACAGGAAAAGAAAAAAGCAAATTAGCTTGAACTTGGCTTTGAAAATGACCTTTGCTCATGGTGACCTTTGGTCAAGGGTGGGTAATTTGCAGAAATTAAATTAAATCGTGGGATCCTAACCCATCACCTTAGACTAGAGATGTTAGTTAGACATTGGTGATGAATCAAGGAACTCTTAATACATTTCCAAGATGCTAACTCACCGTGTATGTCTCCACATCCACTGGAAAGATCACAATCCTAACAGTCAGGGTTTTCTTCATGTGCATCTTGAAAAATGCTAAAATTTCATCTACCATTATCATGGCTGCTGTACTCTTCTCTATCTCAATGAGTCCTGTCCCAAGGGCAGGAAAAGAAATGGAATTTACATCTAGTTGGAGGCATTTTTCCAGACAGGTCTTCACCGCATCTTTCAATATCTGTAAGATAAATACAAATTCAAGATCAACCTCAGAGTAGAAAATAAGAAATGGTGGCAACTGAATGCTACCCCGTATACCTGAGCACTGCTCTCTCCCAGTTATGTAGCCTTGACTGTCCCCCCAGCTCAAGGAGCCAAGCATCAGTGTGCCACTGACCTGCCACTCCCAAATCAACCAAGTGTCCCTGACTTAAAAGGAGATGGAGACTAAAAAATGAGGCAAACAGTGTTCCTTCAACATGACAAAGACTACTGTGTACCTTCTCCTGGAGTCGTGCCAATAGTTTTAGCAGACTTAAACTTCCATCAACTTTTCTTTTTCTTTCTTTTTTTTTTTCAAGGAAAAAGTTTTAATATGCACCCTGGCTAGCCTGAAACTCACCGTGTAGAGTACGTGGCCTCAACTCAGAGCTCTGCCTTCATCTGCCTCCCAAGAGTTGAGATTAAAAACAAAAAAAGGAGTGGGCCACCAATCCAGGCTAACCCTCTATCAACTTTTCAGTATTATATTGAATTATTATATATAGACAGGAAGGTTGTCTGTGAAAGAACCTAGGAAAGATGAAGCATATAGACTGACTGGAAGGCCAATCTGGGATTAGAGAGCTCTCTAAGAGAGGACAAGATGTAGCAGAGAAAACACACACACACACACACACACACACACACACACACACACACACACACACACACAC